ACGATTTGTCAGCTCGTCAAGTTGCTCCTGCAAAGTGATCGAAGCGTTATAGGTACGGAACACTTTGACAGTCAATCCATCCATCAGCGACGACAAGTGTTGATTCAAAGTGCTCGTCTAAAGCATAACATAAGCTCAGATGTGATGAAAAGGAAGCCAACATCAAGTCTGTCGAACAAGTCATCCGCTCCAGCTTTATTCTCCATGAACAACTTGAGATTCTTGAAGACTGGCTTCTCTACAGGCACTTTGTTGTAGTATCGGATGGAGTCTTTACCGAGAAAGTCGAACTCGACAACGTAGCTAAAATAAATCATCAATATCAAAAGGTTAAGTTACGCTAACTAACAAAGTGCAGGTAAAATCACTTACTCTTTTCCCTCAAGTTGCTCATGGAGTTTGATGTGTTCACAACGAAGAGAGCAACAACCAACTGTATCTGCAGCTTCCTCCGTATCCTTTTCATTTCCAGCACGAAGAGCAAGCTAAACACGAAGCTTTGGCTCGAACGCACTCGACCTAACCCACCTTATCAATGAAATACAAAGCAACAGCTCGTTGCCGTAGTCGCATCTCTTTGTTCTTCCAATCAGCTCGATAAACCTTAAAAACTGTTTAATTTTGATGAGCTAAATCGAGATCAACCTTTCGAATGTTATTGATTCGGCTCTTCAGCTTGCGAGCAGTCTCGAACTTGGCATAGTCCTTTTCACCCTAGAAATTTCAACTTAAAAATTGAACTAGACTTTTAAACTTACCTTGATCTTGCTGCTTGGATTGAGCATGATGTATTTGTTGAGTCCAAGCACATTTTCACTCCATGAGCAAAGCCAAGTCACCTAAGCAAAAAGTATAAACGATCAAAAAATTACAAACTTTGTTGTCATAGCGGACTTCTTTCCATTTGTGCCCTTTTGGTGGCTCGGGAACCTCCGAGTCCTTTGAGCAATTGATGATCACGTCTTCAGGCTCCACTCGTCGCTTTAAATTTCCCATCTTCGGGTGCCCACCACGACCGCGGAAGAGACCTGGAAAGTTGGGCTTGTTAAGGGTCCAATTAAAAAAACAACCAACCTGGAGGTTCAATTCGGAAATTGCCAATTTTCTGCTTGTGTCCATCAATGAAAGCAAAACCGTAGAGCTTTGCCTCAGCCTCCTTTTCTATCTAAAATAAAGAGCTTGGTTTATGCAACAAACAATTTCCATACCTTAATCTTTTCCTTTTCTTCTTTCGTCATGGCTTTGCGCTTCTCGCTTTGCTCTTTGTAAAAGGCGTCAATTTGGGCAAAGTTGCACTTCTTGAGGTCAATGATCTTTTCCCGTTCCTCGACACTCATCACCTAAAACGATAATTAAATTAGGTTTTCAATTGCAAACGTTTGATTTATGACTCATAGATATTTAGTTGCTTTTCAGGAACTACCTTCCGCCAATCCCTCCAGAAGTTGTTGTTAAAAGCTTCTTTTGTCACGTATTCATGGTCGATCATCCGGGCGTAAAAGCCGGCCACTTCTTCACACGCAGGTGTAAGTTCCATTGGCTAAAGTAAAATTTCATTATTTGAAGATAAAACAGCAAACCTTTCCATCGTAGAAGAATTTCACATGTGAGGGGAGTGGTTCATATGGAGGAGCAAAAATTGGACCCTAAACAAATACATAGTTTGTGATTCAGCGGCTAGTTAAAGCTACAAACTCACTTTATGTTGCAAAGTCTTCCACTTTATCGTGTTATCACTTTTTGGCTCATCTTTCCACCATTCCCAGACCTAAAAACATAAATTGAGCATGGAATTGTAAATCACAGTAAGGATCAGTGACCAAACACAATAAATTCACCTCTTCTTGTTCCTCTTCCTTCTTTTTCCTCTTTACTGACGTTGTGTTCTCCTTCTTGACCTCCTTTTTCACCTGCTTCTTTGGCTTCTAAAAGAAATCGTTCAGTGTACGAAAGAAAAAGTCACCTTGTCTTCACTGTCGGATTCCTCGCCCTTGGACTTGCTCTTCTTGTCCTTCTTTTTCTGAAGAGCAAATGTAAAAAACTTTAGTTTCTATTAAAATGCCACTTCCTTTATCAAGAGTAAAGCTATTAAAACATCTTCCAAACTAGTCAAAACTTCTATCCACCCGCACCTCTGGCTTATATTCCTCTTCGTTGTCGCTCTCTTCCCTTTTCCGCTTTTTCTTCTCCTTGTCCTTTTTCTCCGTCTCCGTCTCTTTCTAAACGAAACGTGCAAATTTTAAAATGAAACAAAAACAACCTTAGCTTTGGAGATAATCTGGACAAAAGGAACATCATCATCTTCTTTCTCCTTCTAAATTTTCAATTTATCAACTGAAGCTTTGAAAAACAACCTTAGCTTTATCCTTGGCCATAGTCTGAATGAAAGGGACATCATCGTCATCATCATCTTCGATTTTTGGCTAAAATATCTCTTAAAAGTATTGAAAAGCCAAAAGCTCACCTTTTTGCTAGACGAAGAATCGCGTTTCTTTTCACTAGAGGATTTTAGCAGTAAGTCGTCATCCTCATCCATAGGTTCCGGTTTCTGCAATTTATTATTGTAAACAAGAAAGTTTCCCACTCACCGGCTCCTTAAGTTTTTCTTTTTTCACTCGTTGACCCCACGGAATATCGTCATCCTCATCAAAAACAGCATCTTTTGAGTTCCCGTTTGAACTCTAAAAGTAAAACATTTAGTGTTTAAGCAAGTATTCTAAAAGAAACCTTTTCCTTTGTAGGATCGTTTTCCCTTGGGAAGTCTGGCAGAGAGTTCTGGCTTCCGTAGCCACTAAACAATAGAAAGATTAAACTATTTCGAAATTCGCATATAATTGCTTGTAGTTTATGGGAGAAAGCCTTTTAGAAAACTTTAGATTTAAAAAGTTTCCGCAAATCCCCGGTCCTAAATGTTTCTTTCTTTCGTAATTGTAAATTCTAAAAGCAAACACAAGTCCAAGTCTAACAAAGTGTATGGCCAAGTGAAACTGGGTGCTTCCAAAACATTTTCGATAGCTTTTACAAAATTGTTGTTGAATGAATTTAAGTACCAGGTAGAGCCAAATCATCAAATCGAGATGGTAACATGGAAAACCCCAAAAAAACCCTCACCTATCGGCGTTTTTGTAGTGATCGCCGTTGGTGGATGAGGAATTCCCGTTCGTGTAGGCAGGTTGATGCGACTCAATTTCGGTCATCGAACACACTCAGCAAACAATAGCAAGAAGAGAAGAGATGTCCCTGGAAAAATGCTATAGCGGTTAGGCGGCAAAAAACAAAAATGAGTGAACCGGCAAAAATAGGGAGCTGGTCAAAACAGCGCCGGCTCAAATAATGCGTTTGCGGTTAAGTTTATTTGCGCTTCTTATTTTCATTGAATGTAGAAAAAAAAACTAGCTATCCGCTGAATTTTTTGGAGCCGTTTAGAACAAATCTGGGATGAGAAAATGATGAAAAACGAAAAAGGGCTCAAAAAGAGGTTAACTGAGCTTTTCTCGACACCAATTCTGTTGACACCAATTTAAGTGATCCAAACTATACAAATGTAAATAATTTTATTCTGCATCCAATAAGAATAAGAAACACATAGAAACTTAACCGCGGAGAGACTATTTTTGCGGTGGTGCTGTTTGTACACGGCGCTGTTTTGGGGGTGCTAGTAAAAACGTTTTTTGCGTCCCGGATTGGGCTCTTTACCCTCTATATCGTTCTTATGCCATTTTCAGAGCCGGTGAAGGCGGCAAAATAGCGAGCATCGTCGGCGAGGAAAAACTGAGGTACTTTGGTGGTTGGGAGGGGGCACTTTTATCCTGGCTTAGTTGGGTCTAATGTTTTGAGTGGTTGTATTGATACCTTTTATCTATTCTAGGGTAATCAAATATGCTTAATAGATTGGTGGCTATTTTAGCAAGTTTTTAGCAATTCTAGCCTAATCTCATGTACTTTAACCACTAAGCGCTATCCCAAAGCTGCTTACACTTGAAAATCAAATAAAAGCGGCAATATGAAATTTGAAACATGTTGTAAATGCTCTAAAAGTATAGGCATATTTAACTACCTTAGAATAGGTAGGTAAAAAGTATCAATACAACCACTCAAAACATTAGATCCAACTAGGCCAGGATAAAAGTGGGCCCTCCTAACCACCAAAGTACCAAAGCTGAAAAAAATATGAATATTCAATCACAGCTCGAAGGAAAGTTTGTTGAAAAGTGCAAATTTGACGCAAATGATACGCGGCGCAAATAATTTGACGCTTTTGCTAGCACCCCATGTTTTGACCTGCTCCCCAAAAACGAGAGATTTGGCTTATATAGACGTAAATTTAATTTAAAAGTATTCAGTTGAATTGTCGCCAAATTGAAAAGAGCACGTTTTAGAAAACGTCATTGATTCGGTGTTACTTGAACTGGAACATTTTGTATACTTTGTATATGTTGTGTCCGATTTAGATTTCCGTCCGATTTAGAATGAATCTAAATCGGACATCCGATATAGACTATAATCTAAATCGGACGTCCGCGATAAGTTCAATCTAAATCGAACGGAAATCTAAATCGGACACAACATATACATTTTGTAACTTGTTGATTTTTGCAATTGATCTCAAAAATTGGTTTGTTAGAGCCGTTGAACTTGACTTAACTGTAGGCGACGATCAGCAACTCTTCTCAAGACCAACAAGCTCTTTAAAGAATTTCTCAAAAACAAACACAATTTCACGTCGAACGCATTCAAGGCCATGTACATTTTCTGTTTATTCACAGCGATAAAAGAGACAAATACCGTAAATATAAAGAGTATTTTGAAATCTAAAAACGAAAAGTTCCAAATTCCAATATTTATACAAGCTGATTGCTTTACAATCACTGCCTTCTGATTGCATTATTCTGACTTTGAAAAGAATTGTCCGAGATATTTATTTCGATATAAAATGCAGTTAGAATCTTAAAAAACGTCAAATTGTTTTGAAATTTAAATATCGTTTTGAAATTTTTTCAACAAAAATTGCAACTTTTCGGGCAATAGTCCCGGCGCACTTGCTCTGGGTAGAAATTCGACGAGCAGAAGCCGTTTCCAAGCCAGACTCGGCATCTAGATTTAAGTTTTTCGAATTTACATAGATAAACCTAATAGTTATTCAGCTAATCAGTAAAATTTCTGAATTTTCAGTAAACTTGTTGGCTAAAAACTTAAACTCCGCCCATTATGGACGAGACTTAACCGTTTGCCTCATAACTTTGCATGGATATTATATTTTGAGTTGATTTTGGTGTCATTCGACGCGCAATTTTATTGCGCGTCGAATGATAATTAAAATAGTCAAAATGGAAGGATTTTTACTGAGAAAAACACAAAAAACCTTAAATTGCCAATGGCAAAGAATGTTTTCGTTACAAGTCTACCCGTATCCATTGCACAGATAATTTTACCCAGTGATCAATTTCTAAATCTGCAATTTCCAATAAACATACTCATTCGCATTCTTATCCGCACAAGATTTCGTTGTCGTTGGAAGAGTTATGGAAATTGTTGAACAGAGATTACACGACACTCCACAAGTCGTCCGTTTCACCATCTCCGGATAGAAAGCCGAGGTGCAGAAACCGTTTTGCATCCAAACACGACATCTAAAGAAAAGCTTGAGCTAAATTTTCAATATTCTATAGAAAAGTACTGGGCCGATGTATCGGCACACGGTCCATCGGTCATCAAACTCATCGGCGATTCACTGGCTTTACGGGTGGAACCGGAGGACTTGGTTTGACCTAGAAATTGAATTCAATATTAGAAAAAGAATCTCATATGATACCTGTGATAACTTTTTCTAACGATTATTGAAATAATAATCTCCCTAATGGTATACTTGGCTTAATTCAACGCTTAATTCAACGCTCAAGCTCAAGCTCACGAAGCTCAAGCTTACGAGTCTCAAACTCAAGCTCATGAAGCTCAAGTTCACGAAGCTCAAGCTTACGAATGGCTCAAATGTTCTTATCTGGTGCACCGGTTTAGTCGTTTTTTTTGCATGACAACGATTTGATGTCAAGAAGAAAGTGATAAATTGAGTACACCAGAAAGATTTTGTTTACGTTTTTTGGCACAAAAGAGAACACTCTAGAGCTAGAATTTGTATTGTCAAATTGTCAAATTGGCTTAATCTTGTCAAATTGAGTCTAAAAAGCCACTCATGGCTAACAAAGACAATCAGATGGCGAATCTTTAGAGTTTGTGAGTGTTTATGACTTGACCAGTCAGTGTTGTTTGTCCGGGTGCAATCGTTGGCCCAATCGTCGTCATAACTGGAGCTCCCGTTGTCACCAAGCAGCTCTCTTTGATGCAGACATCTCCTGGGAAATTGATTTTCTCGAATAGTACATCTTTTTAAAACCGATAGGCACCGCTCCGTTGTCACAGCCGAGAAATGGGAGATACGCTGAAAATGGCTAGATTTTAAGCTAGAATAGCTAGATAGCTAGATAGCTAGATAGCTAGATAGATAGCTAGATAGCTAGATAGATAGCTAGATAGCTAGATAGATAGCTAGATAGATAGCTAGATAGCTAGATAGATAGCTAGATAGCTAGATAGATAGCTAGATAGCTAGATAGATAGCTAGATAGCTAGATAGATAGCTAGATAGCTAGATTTTAAGCTAGAATTCACTCCATCTTACGTCAAACTTTATCAAATCTCGATCTTTTACTAATCCTTAACTTTAAAAGCACTTATTTTAGAAAACCTACTATTGTTAAGCATCAAAAAACTACCATAACCTCAAAAAAAACTCGTTTAGATCAAAAACAAAAGAAAACTTTTCAATTTCAATCAAAAACAAAAGAAAACTTCTCACGTCCATCAATGCAAGCATCAGGAAAATCTGAATTCACCAAAATTAGCTATCATCTTCTAAAAACTCGTACCTTGCGCAAATACCATTGCTAAACATTGCAAAAACACTATGAATCTCATTTGCTTACGGTAAATTATGAATTCAGTGCAAAAATTGGAATAAAATCAGATCCTGAAGCCCTCGGCAACTGGCCAAATAAGCGGCGTGTTGCAAAATTTGCTTTTTTTTCAGAAAAAAAAACTTTGACCACCTGAAACAACAAAGATTTAGCACCAAGCTAGCTAAAAAATAAAACGTTAAAAAAAACTTTTGCCAAGTTCAGCGACCAAATAGCTAAAAAATAGAGTACTCGTTGACAATCATTGGCCCAATTGTGGCCACAAATGGAGCACCCGCTGTCACCAAGCAGCTCTCTTTGATACAGGTATCTCCTGGGCTTTCTCATCATTCTGGATGTTGAATTTGTTGAAAAATAAAGCCAAAATTAAGGTAAAAAAATTGATCCGAAAAATTTCGGCATAGTGACACCGAAAATCGGCTCAATCGCTTCACCGCTCCTTCCCATTTACTGATTCCAAAAGCGAAGCACCGTTGTCACCAAGCAGCTCTCTTTGATACAGGTATCTCCCGAGGGGTTTGTCAGAAGGCAAGCGATTGCACGCACAAAGAGAACACCTCGCTAGTCACTTTACACTGTGTTTTTTTGTTCTGTAAACATTGCTCAGATGTGATGTAAAGCCGGGGTCGGTGAAGCGATTGACGGGGTTCGCTTGTTGGATCTTCAAGTAAAATCTCTAATTTGTGCTGATCTTGAGCCATTTTTTTTGCGGTTTTTTGGCTACAAATAATTATACAAATAATAAATAATAATTATCAAATAATAATCCATTACCATTATTGTTATATCTTTAATATTTATAATTGCTAAATAATTATTATATAAATTATTAACTAAATATGCTAATTATTAGGTAAATATGACTCTGCACTTCATTGGTTTCTCGAACCAAAGCATTGCTTTCTCAAACCAAAGCATTGCTTTCTCTGAAATTCTTTGACAATAACAAATGAATATTTGTGCGTTATGAGGCAAAGTTTCATTTCAATCCAATCCCAATTCGTTTTTGAGAAATCCCAATGAGTTTACAAAAAATCGACTTTTAAGTCAGTTTCTGTGTTTCTGCTGTTTTTATAATTAGATCCTTGTTGTGCTTGATTCACTTGATGCAAGTTATGAGGTAAAAGGTTAAGGGACTTAGGCTTAGGTGAAGGGACTTAGGCTTAGGTGAAGGGACTTAGGCTTAGGTTAAGTGACTTAGGCTTAGGTTAAGGGACTTAGGCTTAGGTGAAGGGACTTAGGCTTAGGTTAAGGGACTTAGGCTTAGGTTAAGGGACTTAGGCTTAGGTTAAGGGACTTAGGCTTAGGTGAAGGGACTTAGGCTTAGGTTAAGGGACTTAGGCTTAGGCTTAGGGAGAAATGGGCGGAGTTTAAGTTTTTAGCCAACAAGTTTACTTGAAAATTCAGAAATTTTACTGTTTAGCTGAATAACTATTAGGTATATCTTAATTCATAAAAAAAAGTGACAAAATTTTGGTAAAGTGTTATCGTGATTTCAGGTGGTTGTGATCTTGATTTGATTTGACGTGATTTGATGATTCGGTACTCTAGCCAAAGCTTCCGATCATGAGTGCAACACTTTCTGGTGATTTTTCGTGTGTGTGTGTGTGTGTGTGTGTTTGGCAATTTGTTTTTCTTTTTGAAAGATTTGTTAGTTCTTTAATAATAAATGAAGAAAAAAAGTTTTTGGCCTCAATTACTCTCATCACAGATGGAAATGCTAACAAAATGAAATGGGGGAAAAGAAAGAAAGTGATATGAAAGAAAATGATGTAAAAGTGAGAGAAATTACCGTAAATACTGTAATAGTACCCCATCCCCCATAATGACGGTGCGGAGTGTTGCGTAGTGTAGCTTTGAACGAGTTTTTCTCGACACTGGCTTATGCTACAATGCGCGTTTAGGTATCAAAAAATAGCTGAAATTCGGGACTATTTTTTGATACCTAAGCGCGCATTGTAGCTTAAACCAGTGTCGAGAGAAGCTTGTTCAAAGCTAGACTACCCAACACTCCGCACCATCATTATCTTTGGTATCAAAAAATAGCCCTGAATTTCAGCTATTTTTTGATACCAAAGACGCATTTTTTGAAAGTACGGGCGCTTTGAAAAAAATGAAATACTAAAAAACTAAAAAACTTTTGCGACTACGCGACTGTACGAGGCGGGGTGGGGTCCAATTACAGTATTTATGGTAGCTATTTATTTCCAAAGCTCGAATTGATTAAGTGGAATTGATGTAAAGCCATCAAAATATAGAAGAAAAAAGACAAGGAAAGACCCGGAGAGATTCGAGAGAAAAAAGAATTGGGCGTAAGGGAAAATAAAAACGAAGTTGATTAGGAAATTGATTAGGAAATTGATTAGGATCGAATTTCTTTAGAATTTGATAAATAAATTAACTTCTGGCTTCAAAATGGTAACGTTTTAAAGGCTAAAAAGTGCTCTATGAGAAAAAAGCTACCATACTCTAAGTATAGTATCTCTTTCTTCTTGTCTTGTCTTATTCTTCTTCTTGTCTTGTTCTTCTTCCTTGTCTTTCCTAATTCTTCTTGAGCAAAGAAAGCACCAATAGCTTAGTGGTAGAGGATCAGCCCAGTAAGCAGAAAGTCGAGGGTTCAATCCCCTATCGATTCCAAATGCTTTTCTTTACCTTATTACTATATTATCGACTGTTACCGGTAAGGATCGGCTGTCAAAAGTTGTGGTAGCTTTTGATAGGATTCTGGTAACTTTGCTGGTAACTTTGATTACGGTTACAATACCAGTTTTCTTTGCAACTCAATTTCCCAATCAAAGACTAAAATTAAACAGTGGTTGTTGTACGGATTCCGCGTTTGAATGGCGTCTCTCGATTGATGTACGGTGGTTCCCGCGCGCTCATCGTATCAGAGCCTAAAACATCACCCGTTTACAGTCATTTCAACTTTTAAAGCCTTTCTGAACTAAAACTAAATAACTTTTCTATAGGTTAAATTCAAAAAAAGGGTCTAGAAGTGGATCTCTTTGCGAAATTGATAGTTGTTTTTTTGTTTTTTTTTAGATCAACTTCTAGACCCGATCCCAATGTAAACCCTTTGAATTCCCTTGTAACCTGGAGCTCCTCGATTGTCAGTGAATCTCGATCTAATAGAAAAATATAAGAAATTATCGAATATTAATGAAATTTCAACTTTTCCTTACTTCTACTACTCCCTGGTCGAGGCTCTCGATCGATCGAGGTCGGCAACATCAATGGAGGAATCGATGATGGAATTGGAGAGGCTGAGTAGCTCGGCTCGGGCACCTTAACAATATAATTAAAGAAATTTATTACTAACACATTCTACACTATAGAAAGCTTTAAATCGGATCTCAATTGTTAATAAGGTAAAGTTAATAATGTTAATAAAGTTAATTTGTTATAAACGTGAAGAGAATCTTGACTAGAGTGTTTTCCTCGCGAGTAATGCGTTTTTTAAAATGCACACTTGGGAAAAAATTACCGTACTTTTAGCAAAAAATTATTGCAAAAAAATGACGCAAAAATGAGGGGGGTAGTCAAAACAGCGGCATAAGAGAAAACGTTCAAAACAGCGCCATAATAAAAAAAGTTCAAAACAGCACCATAATAGAAAACGTTCAAAACAGCGCCATAATAGAAAACGTTCAAAACAGCGCCGTCAAATTTCTCACAATCCAAAAAACCAAGCCGGTTCAAGTTTTATATCAAAAAAATTCCTTGCGTTCTTGGCTACATGATGGGTGAAACAGTTTTTTAAAAAAAGTTAATATTTCATAGATAAAAAGAGCACTTAAAATGTGTGTCGAGTGATACTCAGTTAACCAACTTTCTTTCTTTTCAATTTTTTAGTCATGCGTAAAGTTTAGACTAATCCCAAAGAAAATTTTTCAACTTTTAAACTTTTAATATTCATCTTTATGCTAGAGATGTTAGAAAATATAATTTTAAAAACGTTTAGGTTAATATTTTTTGGATAGAAACTTCCTCGTATCAGAGCAGAGTGTTTTTATCGAAAAAGGGCATTCTAATTTACCCCAATTTTCAAATTCTGTTTACTCAGAGTTGAACTTAAATTTTTAGACTTTTAACTTAAGTTAGATTAACATTAAGTTAACTGTTAAGTTTACTGTTAAGTTAACGTTAAGTTAACGAAAAACCTCAGCCAGTGTCGCCAATCGGGTCGAGGTTGAGTTGTGCACGAGTGGAGCCTCTCCTCGTGATATCGATAGATCAGCCGGGTCAACACTTTCAGCAGCTGGTCGACTGAATATCTTTTCGTTTAGCTTATTTATACTTGCTATTATCTAAAATCTTATAGTCTAACGAAGCTAAACAATCTAATAAAAGATTTTTTTCGATAAGACATTGAAAAGACAGGCTTCTTTCCATTTCAGAAGCAACCCACACTCGGTCTAACCTCTTGAAACAATAAACATGTGGATGATAGATAATTGTGCATAAAGGGAAAGCCAGAAAATAGATGATTATCAAGGCATCGAACGTGTAAATGCAAATCTGAGAAATCGTGTCGCCGATCGAGTCCTAGAAAAGAATAATGTGATTGAAAAAAAATACACAAGCAGAGTCCTTAACTGTTAAGTTAACGAACTGTTAAGTCAATCTTAACTGTTAAGATTGACTGTTAAGATTGCCTTGATAGACTGTTAAGATTGTTAAGATTAAGTCAATCTTAACAATCTTTCTCTCTCAAGTAATAGTGCGAAATAGAAAACAATATTGAATGAATAAGAAAATAAGAACAAATTATTTTGTTTTAAAAATAAGAACAAATTACTTTGTTTTAAAAATAATCAGTCAGGCACTATTACTTGAAAGGAACACACTCTAACTCCTAAGCTCTTTCCTCCTGTAGGGAAAAATCAATATACAATATTCTCTAATAGTAGTGCACTCCGCCGAGCCGAGTTGATGACTATTTTACGGTTTCCAAGTTTTCGCAGAAGCTCTAATCCCCCACAAGATCTCATCGTCAGCTCCCGACTAAGATACTGAGCTCTTAGCCAGTCGACCATGACGTCGATCATGGCGCCAGTCGACCAGCCAGTCGACCATGACGAAAAGTAAATGAGTTTAGGAGTTTTCCTGTTGAAGATTACTCAAAAATTGTTTGTTTATAAGATTTTCCCCACCTTTTTCTTATTCACTAACTTTTAAAAACTTTCTTTAATGATCTTCCCCTTCAGTTTTAACAACTAAGTGATAGATTTAATGTTTCCACTCACTTGTATACCGACGACGTTGAAAATGATCATGCAAATGATTCCCGAGCATAACCCGTAACATACTAAACTCCCGAGGATTAGAATTATCTCAAAAAAATTTCACCCACAAAAAGTCCTATACATAATCTTGCTGATGACACAACGGATTTGTGATGCGAGTTGCTCGCGTCTAGAAAATGAATGAGTTTTGCTCGTGTTCACTTCTCAGGTTTACTTTGTAAACACAGTAAACACAGTTGAATATTTCCTTTTCGTAATAAAGACTCAATAAAAGATTCACTAAGCTAGAATTGATGTTTTTACGCGCAAAAAGTATTGGGTTGGGGAGAATGAGTCGGCGCCGAAATTTAAAGAAACTTTTTGCACCCATAAAACCTTCTTTAAATACACGTTTTGTTTCATCAAAATGGTCCACTATTTCTTTACAAAATGGCTTTTGAGAGATTCCACAAAGCTTTTCTTTTTTGGGATTTTATGGATTCCCAAACACAGCTAATCAAAATGACAAAAAGTCCGACTCATTGCTTGAACAGTTTCTTCCACATAAACCTCCTTTGGTGTTTATATAAAAAAGATAGAGCACACTCAATTACATAAGTTACCAAATTTTCAGGAAGATCCCTCCAACCGTTTACTCTAGATGACAGTTTATCGATTTTGTGAAAAAATGATCCTTTGTTGAGTTGAGGCGCTGTTTGAGTTCTCTTTTAAATATTATTTTGTAGAGAATTAGTTACCCTTCTACGGATATCAAACGCATATCATTTGACAAAGTCTGCTATAAGTTTTAGAAATTTCTTTGATTTTCGGCGTCGACTCATTCTCCCCAACCCAATACATTCAGTTGCCTACCGTAACGAAGAGGCTGAAGCGGGTCCAAAATGACTGGTCCTTGTCCATTTTTCCGATATCGTTAAGCCAAAGAAGCACTGATAAAGTTGAATTGAAGCTTCAAAAGTTTAGCTTTAACTTCAAAAAAACTTACAATAAGTTGAAAAAGAGCGATCACGATGAAAGCGCCCAGACTGACTCCGTAATGAAAACCGTCTTTACCCACCTGAAAACTCTTATAAAGTGGAAAGATTGACATCTCTCTATGGAATAGCTTGGCTACTTGGATGGCATAGCTTGACTGCTTGAATGGCATAGCTTGGCTACTTGGATGGAATAGCTTGGCTACTTGGATGGAATAGCTTGGCTACTTGGATGGCATAGCTTGGCTACTTGGATGGCATAGCTTGACTGCTTGAATGGCATAGCTTGGCTACTTGGATGGAATAGCTTGGCTACTTGGATGGCATAGCTTGGCTACTTGGATGGCATAGCTTGACTGCTTGATGGCATAGCTTGGCTACTTGGATGGAATAGCTTGGCTACTTGGATGGAATAGCTTGGCTACTTGGATGGCATAGCTTGGCTACTTGGATGGCATAGCTTGACTGCTTGAATGGCATAGCTTGGCTACTTGGATGGAATAGCTTGGCTACTTGGATGGCATAGCTTGGCATATTCCTAGGATTTGTTAGCCAGACTAGACCAAAGGCTAGTCCAGTTCCAAATCTGAACTCAGGCTAGCTCAAGATCATGACAGGTCTTGCAAGGCGTCCTGCAAGGCGTCAGTCAGGCCAAGGCCTTGTGTCGCTATTCAATTCATCACAAAACTCACCGTCTCATTCGCTCGTTCTTGGCAAGTCTTGTAAAATTTCATCTTTTCTGGTATCAAAATCGAAACAAGCCTCAGGTAAACGTACTCAGCGAAACCAAGCACGTACTGAAAAACTGTTATTTTATGGAAAAGATCTTTCGCCAACCGCTGTGATCACTACACAATAGGCAATCGTGTAGTAGTGAGCGTTGAGTGAGGTGTCGATTCGCTCAATCTGGAGAATGATTTAGATTAAGATTTTAGCTTGATTATGTCGAGTTTCATGGGAGATATAAAAGAATAGATACCATAAACATTCTTATAGAAGAGTCGGCTCTTGTATTTTTCAAGTTTCTCGTTTTTTTTCGTGCTCTAGCTACAGTATACCCAAATTTTCAAGAGCTTTTCAAGATTTACAAAAGCTAAAAATAGGTATTTTTGTTGGATTTTCATTCGGTTTTTGATGTCATTAACTTTCTTTTGTTTATAACTATTATTTAAAGCCTTTTGAAGTCTTTTGAAGGCTTTTGAAGGCTTTTGAAGGCTTTTAAAGTCTTTAAACCCTTTTAAAGTCTTTAAAGCCTTTTGAAGTCTTTAAACCCTTTTAAAGTCTTTAAAGCCTTTTAAAGTCTTTAAAGCCTTTTAAAGTCTTTAAAAAGTTAAACATTTTGTTATTCGGTCTAAAGCTGTTATTTGGTCTAAAGCTGCTCTTCAATTGGATTGATTGCATAAAAGAGGTAGATTGGATAAAAGCTAGGGCCAAGATTACGGTTAGCAAGTTAGCACGTTAAAGTTAGCACGTTTTAGAAAACGCTTTGGCTAAGACAATCCACGCTTTGGCTAAGACAATAGCTACTTTACTGGCATAATGTTTTCCTTTCGACCAACGAATTCAAAACAATCCCACTCACCACCGATCCCTCTCCACTCATATTCGGCAAACTCGGTAACTCATCGATTGTCCGCTGCAATCGCTCGAATATCGATGGTCTCTGAAAATTTTTATATAAAACTTTTGTACTTGTTTGACAGTGAATCATGCTTGTCTGTGCTTGTCTGTTTGAAATAGAGCTCGAGTACAGTTACAGCTCTAGTCTTAAGACTAATTGGGATGAGGATTGGGATTTCTATTCAAATCTATCCTATAAATATATAGAATAGATGTAAATAGAATAAATTTTAATTGAAATAGATGATAGGCAATCAAGCATGCTTTCTAATAAAGATATAGGAAAGATATGAAAAAGGGCTATCTCTTTTTTGGCTACTTTGCGCAGCTCGCCATAACTTTCTTCTAAGTCCGCCAATCTTTATGATTTTGGTGTCATTTTGTAGATCTCAACAAGTGTAACAAAATGACACCGAGAAGAGGAACACAATCTACTGTAAACACTCGAACTACCTCACTCTCGATCGGTCTGGAAGTGACGTCCTAAAAGAAGTCAAACGTAACTTATGACGAACGGAAAGACTTATTCATCAACCTAATATCATCAACTTAATATCATCAACCTAATATCATCAACCTAATATCATCAACTTATACAACCATACCTTATCATGCAGTCCATTCTCGTGTCCGTCTGTCTCCTGTATCCTCTCGAGGCCCTGTGGTCGATGGACGAGCGTTCCAAAGCTTCTTCCCATATCTCGTCGGAGCTCTTTCAGCGATCTTCTCACGTTGTCGGCTCGACTCGGCACATCACTCGTCGATGCATGATCCCAACTTCTTGTCGAACTAAAAATCGACTGTCATTGTGAGAAATTGGTGCTTGTTTCTGCTTTTTTTGATCACAAAGCCTAAGCCCAAGCTGAACACACCGTTCAGCCATTTCATCTTCTCCATTTTATCAAAAACCCAGCTTTCAATTATAACAGCAACAACTGATTTCAACAAATGAATACAAATACAAAAAAATACGAACCTTGTCGGCGCGGGCACACACCGTTCAGCCATTTCATCTTCTCGAGACAGTGATCGCATCACTTTTCAAGGCGCATAAATCTAAACAAAAGAAATAAGAAAAAGTTTAAAGCTAAAATCTAATCAAAAAGTAATCAAATCAAATCAAATCAAATCAAATGCGCTTGAGGACAAATTTCTCTGTTTACCAAAGTAATCATGCAAATTTACTCGAGTAATTACTTACTCGCGAGGAACACACTCTAATCTTGACCAACATTGAATCTAATTAAGTTCTTAAAGGAGTAGTCATAGATTATAACTGTATCATCTTTATATCCAAAATATGATACGTCCACTAGAAAGGATACGTTTCAAAATGAGCACAAAGTACACCCAGAAGTCAGCTTGTCTATTTGTCTTTTAAAATTTTTTTTCTAGTCTACTAGAATTTCTAAATTTCTGCTCTAGTCTACTAGAATTTCTAAATTTCTTTTCTAGTCATGGTGATTCAAAAGTTCAAAAGTTCGCATCCAATTTCTACTAAAACTTGATTTTAAAATGAGGAAAGCTAAACAAATTTGTTCATAAGAAAAAGTTTAAAGCTAAAAGCTTTAAAGCTAAAATCTAATCAAAAAGTAATCTAATCAAATCAAATCAAATCAAAGCAAATCAAATCAAATCAAATCAAATTAAATCAAATCAAATCAAAAATGCGCTTGAGGGCAAATTTCTCTGTTTACCAAAGTAATCAAGAAATGGAAAGGAAATGGGAAAAAATTGAGATCGATCTTTACAGAAAAACTGTTTTTTTCAGATGACTCAGAAAAAATCAGTCAAATTGGGTGAAAAGTTGATTCAAATTTGGCTTTAATAAATCTTTTAAACAAAAATTGACAAAAACAAAAAGAAATCATTGCTTTTAGCCTCCAGAAAATGTTATAATTCAGGAAATTACACGGAAATTCCCCCAGTTACCAGAAGAGACGAAATTTTTGAGCAAAAGAAAAAAATGAAGAGATTTTGAAATCCCTCAAAAAATTCAATACACGATTGAAGGTCAAAAATCAAAAAAAAAAGAGGGGATTTGTGGACAAGAAAATATAAATGATCAATACATAAAAACATTTAGAAATTGAGTATCAAAGATTTGGAAGCAGGCAGATTTAGCTTCGTGGTTCTAGATCTATAAAGCCTAGTTGAAAAATGCTTAACAATTTACTATTGACTCAATATAGCTTAAAATAAACGTATTATAATATAATAATAAACGTAATTAGCTGGGTTTTTTTTAAAAAATTCGAAAAGTTTGATTATTTTCAAGAGTAAAGATCGGATGAATGGTATAGAAAGAGAAAAAAAAACATGAAATGAGGTCACTTATTGAGGTGGAGAAGGAAAGGAAAGAAGAAAAAATGAAGAGTCGAAACGAGTTTTTATTCTCAATACAATAAAACTCTATTGAAAGGCATTTAAATTACGCATAAATTACCGTATTTTCTCTAAATAGTAGTGCACCCTGAGCGTCGCCTAAATTCCGTTGAGGCCGGGCACTTGTTGGTTGAGGCGCACTTCCGTGGTTGGCGAGAGCTTGAGAGCTTTGACAAGTCGATCCAGGATTGCGTTGTGTCGACGAAATTCCTCGAAATCTCGAGAATCGCTTATCAGAATCTATCGATGTGGGGTCGGAAAATGTAGCTGACGATGAGATCTTGACGATGATTTGAGTGTTGAGCTTCTGTGAAAACTTTGAAAGCCGTAAAATGGCCATCAACTCGGCTCGCCGGGATGCACTACTATTAGAGAAAATACGGGATAGATAGTCTTTTAGAATATAGTTATCAGCTATTTCTTTTGATTTAACGATTAAGGAAAGTAGGTAAAGCTAGTCAAATTCGAATTTAGAGTAAGAACCTTTTGCATAACAGCTTTATTATAGTTATACTGTAGCTAGAGGAAAAAGGATTTTAGAGGAAGATTGAAAAATAGAAGAGCTGGCTCTGCTACTAGAATGTTTATGGTATATGGGAATTGTGGAATAATGGACGCAATGAGAAAAGGTTGTGTTGGGATGAGTCAGAAGTGAGAAAAGAGACAGCAGAGCAGTCAGGCCCTATTTTATTAGCTATACACGATTTGGGGGAAAGGTGAAGAGGGAAGGGAAGAGGCTGTGAGAGATGAGAGAGTAGGCTGACTCTCGCCTCTGATAACACCCCATGGACTTGCCCTCAGATTTTCAAATTCCCACAATCAAGCTTAGCAACATTTTTTTAGCATTTGAAATAATGCCAAGAAGAGTTGAAGAGTAAAAGAATTGTCATTCGTTAGATAAAGCCGTTAGATAAAAGAATAAAACCTTTGAAAGCTATAAAAATTCGATTTTCATACCTCTTGCTTAACGTTTTAAAGAAAATTTTGCATTACCAATCCGGGATTTCAAATTTTGAACTACTGAACTACTGAAAATCATGAATTACTCATGAAATGAATGAGTAATTTATGAAGCACGCTCTCGTCACGTAAAGCCCGTCGATTTCGCTTGCCCGATTGTAAAGGTAGCTTATATGCTTTAAAATTATCTCAAATAATGTTGCACAATGTTCATTTATACATTTTAGTCAAAGTCTAATCCTTCTTTGGCCGCAGCAGCTTCGGAAAGCTGCTCCTCTCCCTCAACCAGCGCCTCTTCAGATTGCTGCTGCTCTTCCAAATCACGCAAATGCTCTTTTCGCAACCTCAACCGGTGGGTGGCAACCTCAACCGGTGGGTGGCAACCTCAACCGGTGGGTGGCAACCTCAACCGGTGGGTGGCAACCTCAACCGGTGGGTGGCAACCTCAACCGGTGGGTGGCAACCTCAACCGGTGGGTGGCAACCTCAACCGGTGGGTGGCAACCTCAACCGGTGGGTGGCAACCTCAACCGGTGGGTGGCAACCTCAACCGGTGGGTGGCAACCTCAACCGGTGGGTGGCAAAATATTTCATGAATTGCTCATGAAATGAATGAGTCATTTATGATTTTGTAGAGCTTTAAAAAGAAATAGACTTTGGTATTCTAAAAATAAAAAAAATCGAGAAGTAAAACTTGTTAGATTTAAGATGAAATTTTCGAATTACAAATCAATTTAAATGATAAATTTGATAAATTGATAAATTGATACATTGATAGATGATAAATTCATGATAAATTTCAATTTTACACACAATATTTCAATTTTTCTTTCATGATTTTTACCAAAAACTATTGTGCAAACTTTTTCACTCATCCAATATTTACAAATTTATGAATTGCAACAAAAAAAAGCCAAAAAACCAGCAACTTTTGCATAAAACTACAAGAAAAGTTAAAGAAAAGTCAAAGAAAAGCCTTTTTTTCCTCGAAAATCCCAGCCTCAAAGCCTCAAAATAGCGTCAAAATCTACGTAAAACGCGTTTAAAGAAGGGAAAATTTGAAGAAAAAAAAGGCGCGTATAGGGGTAATTTTAGCAGAAAAATTGCTCTGAACGTAAGGATTTCCCGAAAAAAAAATATAGTTTGAAAAAAAGTGGAGAAAGGATTTTTGATTATAAAAGGGTTCCCTGGGTAACCGAGTCGCGTTTTTCTCAAAAATCTCCTCAAAAGCTTTGATATTTTTTGAGGAAAACGTGAGAAAAGTTTCCTTTTTCTCAACAATTATTATAAATTTGCGATGAAATTTTCGGAAATCTTCCGCGAAAAAATTCAAATCCCAGGAATTTATGGAAAAGTTCCAATGAACGTGAAAAATTTGAACGGATTGGTTTTGGTCTAATGATTTCAACTTGCATAATTTTGACTTTAAAAATGAATAAGCAGCTGAATAAGCTTCTTAGAGTACTTATTTCCTATCATACCTACTGTAAATACTGTAATAGTACCCCACCCCCTCGTACAGTCGCGTAGTCGCAAAAGTTTTTTAGTATTTTAGTATTTCATTTTTTTCAAAGCGCTCGTACTTTCAAAAAATGCATCTTTGGTATCAAAAAATAGCTGAAATTCAGGGCTATTTTTTGATACCAAAGATAATGACGGCGCGGAGTGTTGCGTAGTCTAGCTTTGAACGAGTTTCTCTCGACACTGGTTTAAGCTACAATGCGCGCTTAGGTATCAAAAAATAGCCCTGAATTTCAGCTATTTTTTGATATCTAAACGCGCATTGTAGCCTAAATCAGTGTCGAGAAAAACTCGTTCAAAGCTAGGCTACGCGATGCTCCGTCTTTTGATATCGACAAATAGCCCTGGATTTCAGCTATTTTTTGATATCTAAACGCGCATTGTAGCATAAACCAGTGTCGAGAAAAACTCCTTTAAAGCTAGACTACGCAACACTCCGCACCGTCATTATGGAGGTGGGGTACTATTACAGTATTTACGGTAGGTATGATAGGAAATAAGTAATCTAAGAAATTTTCGCAAAAAGTTTGTATATTTTTGATAAAAACAAGGACTACAATCGATTCAAATCGAGAATGGGAGAGTGAAATCTCGGAAAAGAAAGGTACACAAAAATATTTGTCATGCGGGGAATTGTTATTAATGGTGAAAAGAGAAAAAGGTGAAAAAAAGAGAAAGAAAACTGACTATAATATTGTAAATTGGTAGCTACAGTGGTCCACAAATGTATTGTCCCATTGCCATCCAAAAGTTTCCTTCGTACGAAAATCTTGCAAAATAACGATATTCCCAAAAAGTGTAGGGTATTTTGCTTACCCATAATACTCTACTTTTCAGGATTATAAGATTTATCCGTATACATTGCAGAAAAATTAAAGTATAAAACAAAAACAATAAGTTACTTAACAAATAGCTCCACAAAAGTAATGTCCCATTGATGTTTTCCTTGATTATTCTTTTTATTTTTGCTTTCTATGAACATTAAATGTATTTTATTTTATTATTTAGATGACTGGCAAGAAAAACCTTGACACTCCAACGAAGCTCCGAATCGCCAAGGCCCGGGAAAATGGGATGCGGGAAAAGGATGTGGCCAACCTCTTCAATTGCTCGATAAGGACGGTGCGCCGCATTCTTTCTCAATCAAAAGTCTACCGAAACCTTCATCGA